TTTGGGGACAGGGGATTTGGGGATTTGGGCACAGGGGGTTTGGGGAAAAGGGGATTTGGGGACAGGGGGTTTGGGGATGGGATTTGGGGACGGGATTTGGGGACACAGGATTTGGGCACAGGGGATTTGGGGATTTGGGGACAGGGGATTTGGGCACAGGGGATTTGGGGATGGGGGATTTGGGGACAGGGGGTTTGGGGAAAAGGGGATTTGGGCCCAGGGGATTTGGGGTTTTGGGCACAGGGGATTTGGGCACAGGGGATTTGAGGACAGGGGAATCGGGCACAGGGGATTTGGGGATTTGGGCACAGGGGGTTTGGGCACAGGGGGTTTGGGCACAGGGGATTTGGGCACAGGGGGTTTGGGGAAAAGGGATTTGGGGAAAAGGGATTTGGGGACAGGGGATTTGGGGATTTGGGCACAGGGGATTTGGGCACAGGGGATTTGGGGTTTTGGGCACAGGGGATTTGGGCACAGGGGAATCAGGCACAGGGGATTTGGGCACGGGATTTGGGCACAGGGGGTTTGGGCACAGGGGGTTTGGGGATTTGGGGTTTTGGGCACAGGGGATTTGGGGGTTTGGGGTTTTGGGGACGGGGGATTTGGGCCCAGGGAGGGTCACGTCGGTGGCAGCTCCGGGGGCTCCTCCTCGTCCGAGTCGAACTCTGCGTTCCCGTCCTTGACCCACTTCCCGCAGGGATCCTGGATCCACCCGGAGCTGGGGACGGACGGACCGGTCAGGGGGGTCCGAGGGGGCTTGGGCTGGGCTGGGGGCGTTTGGGCTCAGTTTGGGCTCAGTTAGGCCCAGGTTTGGCTCATTTTGGGCTCGGTTTGGGCTGATTTAGGCTCAGGTTTGGCTCACTTTTGGCTCATTTTGAGCTCAGTTTAGGCTCAGTTTGGGCTCAGTTTGGGCTCGGTTTAGGGCTCAGGCTCAGTTTGGGCTTGGTTTGGGCTCAGTTTGGGCTTGGTTTGGGCTCAGTTTGGGGCTCAGACTCGGTTTAGGCTCAATTTTAGCTCATTTTAGGCTCATTTTGGGCTCGGTTTGGGCTGGGTTTGGGCTCAGTTTGGGGCTCAGCTTAGGTTCAGTTTGGGCTCAGTTTGGGGCTCAGGCTCGGTTTAGACTCAGTTTGGGGCTCAGGCTCGGTTTAGACTCAGTTTGGGCTCGGTTTAGGCTCAGTTTTAGCTCATTTTGGGCTCAGTTTGGGGCTCAGGCTCAGTTTGGGCTCAGTTTGGGGCTCAGGCTCGGTTTAGACTCGGTTTAGGCTCAGTTTTAGCCCATTTTGGGGCTCAGGCTCAGTTTTAGCTCATTTTGGGCTCGGTTTGGGCTCAGTTTTAGCCCATTTCGGGCCCAGCTCACCTGCGCAGGTGCAGGTGGTGCCGCAGGACCCGGCGCCGCTCCGGGCTCAGCTCGTCCCACACGGGGCAGGATTTTCCTTTCCGGGTCGGAGCCTTCGGAACATCTGGGGAGGGAACGAGGTGGGAGTGGGACCCTCTGGAATTGGGATGATCCGGGACGATCCCGATCCTGCCCCGGAGCTTCCCCCTGGTCTCAAACCTGTCCTCCCGTGTTCCAGCAGCAGGGCTGGGGATCCTCGGGATTCTCCCACATCCCGGGATTCTCCCACATTCCGGAGCGGCTCCGGCACCGTCCGGGCGGGACCAACCCGGGAGCTGCTTCCCTGGGCCCTGGGATGGGACAGGGAATGAGGGATGAGTCCCACAGGGAATGAGGGATGAGTCCCACAGGGAATGAGGGAAGAGTCCCACAGGGAATGAGGGATGAGTCCCACAGGGAATGAGGGATGAGTCCCACAGGGAATGAGGGATGTGTCCCACAGGGAATGAGGGATGTGTCCCACAGGGAATGAGGGATGAGTCTCACAGGGAATGAGGGATGAGTCCCACAGACACCGGATGGCAGCGGGGACACGGCAATTCCAGAGCTTTTCCCCCCCATCCTCATCCAAAGAATCCCTTTCCTGGGAATCCCAGAGCCCTCCCTCTCTTCCCAGTCCCTTTCCTGGGAATCCCAGACCTTTATCTCCCTTCCCAGTCCCTTTCCCAGTAATCCCAGAGCTTTCCCTCTCTTCCCAGTCCCTTTCCTGGGAATTCCAGATCTTTCCCTCACCCTCCCAGTCCCCTTCCTGGGAATTCCAGAGCTTTCCCTCTCTTCCCAGTGCCTTTGCTGGGAATCCCAGAGCTTTCCCTCCCTTTCCAATCCCTTTCCCAGTAATCCCAGAGCTTTCCCTCTCTTCCCAGTCTCTTTCCTGGGAATCCCAGAGCTTTCCCTCTCTTCCCAGTCCCCTTCCCGGGAATCCCAGAGCTTCCCCTCATCCCACCAGTCCCCTCCTGGGAATGCCAGAGCTCCCCCCCTCCCCCTCCCAGCCCCTCTCCCGGCATTCCCAGCCCCATTCCCGGCATTCCCAGCCCCTCTCCCGGCATTCCCGGCCCCATTCCCGGCGTTCCCGGCGCCATTCCCGGTGTTCCCGACCCTTTCCTGCGGCAGCAGCTGCTGTAGGGGGCGGATTTCAGGAGGGCGCTCCGGGCGATCCGTCGGGTCCGTGCCAGGAGCGGGGCCTGGGATCCCTGGGAA